GGGCATTTTTTTATTTTGATAATATATACTTATAGAAACAAAATAAAAAAAATCATCGAATTTGGTTTGGTGGTTGTTGAGATAACTTCGTTTGAAATTTTAAAAAATTCTATTATCACTAATAGACGGTTTAACGACTACCAAACCGAATTCGATGAATATTTTTTATTTTGATTCTATATCTTGTAGAATCAAAAAAAAATCGTCGAATTTGGTTTGGTGGTTGTTGAGATATCTTCGTTTAAATTTTAAAAAAATTCTACTACGGCTTGAATTTAATAGGCAATATTAAATTTATTGACAAACTTTATCTCGACAACCACCAAACTAAATTCGTGAATTATTTAATTTGGTATACTTGTAGAATCAAAATAAAAAAAATGGTATTGAATTTAGTTTGGTGGTTTTCGATATATATTTGTTTAAGGTTTGTCAATAAATTAACCCGCCTATTAAATTCAAGCGTAGTAAAATTTAAACGAAGATATCACGACAACCACCAAACCAAATTCGATGAAATTTTTTTATTTTGATTCTATAAGTATATAGAATCAAAATAAAAAAATTTCATCGAATTTAGTTTGGTGGGTGTCGAGTTAACTTCGAAAAAAAAAGTACTACGGCTTGAATTTACTGCAATAAACGGTTTAATTTATTGGCAAACTTTACACGAAGATATCTCGACAACTACCAAACTAAATTCAATAATTTTTTTATTTTGATTCTACAAGTATACCAAATCAAAATAAAAAATAATTCATCGAATTTAATTTTGTAGTTGTCAAGTTATCTTCGTTTAAAGTTTGTCAATAAATCAAACCGTTTATTACAGTAAATTCAAGCCGTAGTAAATTTTGTTCGACCAAACTAAATTCGATAATTTTTTTATTTTGATTCTATTAGTATATTGAATCAAAATAAAAAAATTTCATCGAATTCGGTTTGGTGATTGTCGTGATATCTTCGTTCAAAGTCTATCAACAAATTAAACTATTAAATTCAAGTAGTAATAGAATTTTTCTAAACTTTAAATGAAGATATCTCGACTACCAACAGTCCAAATTTGACGAAATTTTTTTATTGTGATTTCACATGTTTTTTTAACCAAAATAAAAAAAATCTTATCAAATTTTGTTTGGCGGTTGTTGAGATATCTTTGTTCGAAGTTGCAAAAAAGCATTAAAATTTATGTGGCAATCTACATGTGCAGCTAATTCTATTGAACAAAAATTTGTGTAACCGAAAACTTTTGTGGAGTACGTACACAGTACGTAGTTAAATTTTTTGAACCGTGCGCGGTAGATCCTCGATTTTGATTGAGGATCTTCAAAATTTTGGCCCGCATTACATAATTGTTTACTAATATCCGACCGGAATTAACTTTTAATTTTTTTCATTATAAAAATAGAAATTTTTTAAAAATAAGCTCACTTAATGGGCGGTTGAGATTTCATTAGTAAATTATGAGTAATTCCGGCCTAATTTTTTTATCTTCGCTCTTAGCCAACCAAAATCGAGGATCTTCCTAGGTGGTTCGCTTCTGCGTCTCTGATTGGTTGTCAATCACGAGTTTACTGATCCAATAGACACAGTCTTTAAAATTTTATTTAGCTTCAGACACACAATGCTATGCATTTCTTAGTTTTATTTATTAATTAAAGTAAAATTCGGATTTTAAAATCTATTAAAATCTAGTTTAAAAGCTATCACTAAATATTTTTAACATTGTAGAATTTATAACAAACTTAATAGTCCGTTGTTTAAGAAAGTTAGTTTTATATAATTAATTTATGCCAATTATTGATCATAAACTGCAAATTAAAACTATCGTTATAAATAGATTACTTAATTTAAATAGAGTTAAAATTTTCTAAAATGACTTCATAAATCGTAAGAATTTATTATTTATATAACAAGGTAACAAGGGTATAATTTTATTTGTCGTGTTACATCGACTCCTGAAATTAGATCATCCCGCATATCTTAAGTAGAAGCTACTTCAGATAGGTACGTACGACAATAAATGAATTGATATCGTACAGTAAGTTTAATTAACGCAGATAAGTACTGAAATAATAAATGTAAACTCATTGAATTACGTTTCCGAGTTTAACGCAGCTACCTTTATATAACAGGAGAAACCGTCCAAATATAAATATGATTTTCATTCTCTGTTACACAGATCACTCATTGTATCGACCAGTCAAAATATCACTAAAGGATTAGTCAACCAATCAAATTGCGAAATTTACAAAAAGACGAAACCATGGGATTCAAAGGGATTCAAAAAATATGTTGTAAAGCAAAGTGAGAGCTTCATGTTTGTTTAACCATTTTCAATATTCATAGAAAAGATAAGTCAAGCGAGCCTTCCAAAAAAGTATTGTAAAATAATATAAAAAAAATTTCATCAATTGTGTAACGATTTTGTGACGTATCAACGGTTCCTCCTGTTCCTTTATATCAGATATCAAGCAATTATCCTAACTACATATATTTTCAAAAAAAGAATTTGTGCAAGTTCAAGTTTTTAAATGTTATCGGTAGAGACTTACAACTATTATCGTAAATTCTAGAACAACGAAGAAATAAGTTGATAACATCAGAAACTTGTCATTTTGCTATTATATGACATAGTAATTTATCCGGATAACCCGGGTATTTAATAATACCGGGTAGAGGTTTTCCCAATGCCAAGATTTATGATAATAGCTGTAATATTCCGTGTAATAATTGCAATAATTGCGTAAGTTGATTAAGCCATATTCGGATTATGATCGCCGAACTTATCGTCACAGATTGATCTACTAAAATCACTTCTGGATTATTGTATATCTTTTACATTTAAGCATATCTTTTTATTAATTAAATATCTGGCCACAACTTTAATTTAACCCTTTTTTGTAATCAGAAAATCTTAACTGAAGAAATGCATTTTAGAGATTGTAGTTTAAACCAACTATGCTAATTCACAGATTATTTATTTGCAATAATTGATAAGGAATCACAATGTTTCGTATTTCATAAATCTTAACAGTTTAAATTTCAAACTATAATTTGTAGGAAAAAAATCGGGCGTTAAATACATTTTATCGGAGAGAACCAATGAATGCTCGCCAATTGACGGTTGTGTAAATAGTGTACGTGCGTACGTACATACGTATGTACGCACGTACAGTACATATACCAGATTGTAATTCCTCCTAATTAGCACGAATACAATATTCTCTCAATCATTATGGTCACACTGACCATTCACATGCAATGCTTGCTTCTTTCATTTATTCTACGTAGCATAGGCCATATAATTCGTTTCGAGAAAACTAAGACCTTTTCCTAAACTAGATATAGGTCGCAAGTATTTATGTTAACCAATTAATAAGTACTCAGACAGCATAACTAAAGTTGGCTATTATATTATATGACTATCATCAAATATAATTGGTTGGTATTTTTTTTGTATTTAGGATCTTTGCTAGAAAAATCACCCTCCGAGATTTTCTGATCGGGAAAATTAGACCAAATTTAGAATAGAATATCGATTTCTTATTACATGTAAATTATTCTTTTTACATTATTGATTCTATAGTTTATTTATTGCGGGTTACATAAATGTGTGATAATGTCATGTAAAATCATGAGATTTTCCGATTCTAGTAAAATAATGAAGATTTCGGTTACATATATTACTAGAAAATCTAGAATCACAGAAATTTTCCTCGTTAATCATCACGAAAATCCTCACAAAAATCATGGGGGTCACACCTTTTTTACTAATCTATTTAACTTTGTGCACCTGAAAGTAAATTCCTGTTATAAACTTTATTATAATAACTTAAGATAAATATTAAAAAAAAAATAAAAATAAAAAGTAAAAAATTGAACGCTTTTTATATATATATACAAATTGTTGTAGCTAATACAAAATGTATTATGTGGTATATAATAAAATTTATTATAAAAACTTATTTCTTAAAATTTCAATAACCGAAATGTGTTACCATATGGTATATATTAGGATTTCTATAAACAAATCTTGTGCAACATAGATGCAAGCATACAGTATTAATAAACGGAGTTAACAATCAAATATGACAATGATCGGGGATTTTTTTATAGTAGGTTAATCACTAGTTAATCACAAATGACAATGATTATCTCATTTATCCCTTCCCTTGGTAATCTCTCCCCGGATAAATAGTTATTTCTTTTGTGATTGGGTATAACGAAAGTAAAAGGTCGATTGCTTACGTAATGATTTACTTCCCCAGTAAAAATCAAACACATCCGTTAACAAATTTATTAACTAAACGAACTATTCTTTTACAAGGAGGAAATTTAACCACATGGGACTAGATATTTGCTTATATAACGAAAAAGTATACCAAAAAAACCATAAACATAAAGGTTATGTAATTTAGCATAAACCATAATTTTGTAAATCCGAAATTATTTGCATTTATTTTTTAATTACGTGTTTGTTCAATTTCCTATTAATCAACAAAATTGTACTCACAATGATTTAGGTCAGAAGGAAAGCATTGGCGCATAGGCCATAAATCGTACATGCATACAATTAACTTATCTAGTAGATTCATTACGAAGTAATTTTGTCCATTTACATGTACTACAGTACTAGCAGCTGAAAATTACAAGTTCGTTACTTGCAGATTGTTAACAATCAACTTGTCGATATTTAAACTAATAATATTAAACAAAATTAGTAAGCACCTTCTTTTTACAATATTATCCGACTTCCGATAATTGATATACATATGTTGAGGTAACTTGTTAAAGTAAAGAAATGCAAATAAATTATTATTATATAATTTCCGTACATTACGCAAGGTAAAAAATATTTATTATTGGCGATATTCTGTTTTAGATTTTAAATGCCTCTTAATATTTGAACAAGAATTTTTCTTTAAAAATAACATAAAGCATCCCATCCCATTAATAATTCATTTCTCGATATTTTTTATTGCGCATAAATCCTTCCAATGGGAAATGAACTTTCGGCAATATTAAAAGTTAAAAAGTATAAAATAATAAATGAAAAAAATTCTAACCTTAATAATCATGGACATAACAAAAGCACAAATTCAAATACTGGATTTCCTGTAGTTGATTGTGATTTGGAAAAAGAAAAGCGTCATGTTAGTCTATTTAATATTAAAAATCATTCAAGTCATGTCTGATTATATATTCATATTTCTTAATTATTAGCACGAATTTCTCTTTAAAGTCTGGAATTCAAATTTTTCTTCTCCGATCGAATCTATTTTAAAACGTGGTAATGCCAAAGTTCTCGATGTTGGGTAAGGGTTGCATTTATTATCATTTTTATTTATAAAATATCTGAAAATATCTGTAAATATCTTATAAATTTTTCAAAAAAAAAAGTAGATGTGGGTATGGCACGTGGATTTTTGATATGGTACTGTAATACTTTATTATCCAAATAATTAATTATCAATTTTATTTCTTTTTAACATGTTAATTCTTAATTTAAAGGCAAATAGTTACACTCCTTCACATTTTACTGGAATTGATCTTATAATTCCAGAAAATTTTAGTCCTTCAAATGTCAACTTCGTACAAGCTGATGTTTTGGAGAGATTACAATATTCAAATGATTATTTTGACTATATTCATGTCAGAGATTTATTATGGCATATTACAACAAAAGATGCACGTAATAAATTATTTCCAGGTAAAAATAAAAACAAATCTTTTTTAATAACTAATTTATGAATAAAAAATTAATGTATTTTCTTTCATGTGTTAGAATTGTTACGAGTATTAAAGCCCGGTGGCTGGATTGAAAATATAGAATATGATACTGAAATTATGAATACCGGTCCTAACACTCAGTTTCTGATAGATATACGTATGTAATTTATAATACTACAGTATAATATTATATTTTGTTGTTTTGTTTAGTATAATAATTTAAATTTTTTATTTGTTAGTGGCTAGCTACTTTCTAAATCATGGAATGTATCCTGATGACTTTTATAAAAATTTAACAAGATTGTTTAAAGAAAATAATCTTGAATATCAAGTTGAAGAGAAAATAATATATTTTTCTGATGCTGAATTGGTAACTCTTTTTAATTATTTATCAATTTATTTATTTATTGAGATTTCATTTATTTTATTAACAAAAAATAACTTATTTTTTAAATTTTTTTGTAGTCAACAAAAAAATTTCTATTTATTTTTAAAATTGTAAAATCCGTTATTCTTGAATATACAAGTATAAGTTCTGAAAAATATGATGAAAAACTTGATAAAGTTTGGGCTGAGCTCATGGAATATAAAACTTCATTTCGATCGATAAGACATTTTGGAAAAAAACTTTGAGTTTTAAAATTCTAAAATAATTTTTTATTTAAAATACAGCGAAACCTCTCTAAGTGCACGCCGAGTGCGTGCACTTAGAGAACAATAGAAAAAGTTCATTTATGGAGGTCATGTATACATTTGGGCCAGAATCTGTGTGTGCATTTAGAGAGGGTGTGCACTTATAGAGGGTGCACTTAGAGAGGTTTCACTGCATTTTTTATTTCCATTTTTAATACATATGTAGCTGGTCTTCGTCTGTATAATTAAACATATATAAATACTGGTAGATAAATAAATTTACTTTCCTTTTGTTCCAACTAAAATATTTTATCCATAGTAATTTATCAAGGATAAATTATAGATAGGGTCTTATGTGATGAAAAAGCGTAAAAATTTGTAAATAACTCGAAATTTACTATGATAATTAAATTCCGACTTTTGAGTAAAACATTTCCAGCATAAAATCTTAGTTATATTATGTATTTTTAAATGTTAAATGTATAGTAAATATTTAATATATTACGGATCCAAAGTTTTGAGACGGAGGTTCGGTTTTGTTTAACGTATAAATTTCCTAATTAAAATTTTGTGTAATAACAGGCTCGAGAGGATCATTTTATGAATAGGATATAGTTTTGTTGTACAGTACATATATATACATAATTTTAAAGTTTATTAAATTTATAGATAAAACTTACTATTAATAAAAAGATTTAAAGCTACGTACGTGCGTACTGTGAAACCTCTCTAAGTGCACCCTCCATAAATGCACAGGCCCAAATGTATACATGATCTCCATAAATGGCTTCACTGTAATTTAAAATTAAAATTGTTTACAGTTTGACCTCTCTACGTGCACGCCCTTGGGACCACATTTTAATAACGTGCATATAGGGAATAATAAGAAAAAGTGCATTTATAGAGATCAAGTATATATTTGGGCCAGCACTTGAGCGTGCATTTAGAGAGGGTGTGCACTTATAGAAGGTGCACTTAGAGAGGTCTGACTTAGAGTTGGTCTCGAAACGAAACCTACCCGAAACTAGTTTCGGAATTTTTTAAAAAAATCGCCGAAATTATAATACGAAACTCCGAAACTCTGGTTGAACAATCAGGATGCAGGATCAAAGTGTAACATGAAAATCCGATTTTTAACAAATCGTTTCTAACTCTGAATTTGTCTATGAAACTGCTCTTTTTGCGAAATTTAAAAGTTTTACTAATTATTTCCCTACCCGAATCCTAACCTAAGCTTTAACACGATTGTTGTTTGTTTTGTTTTGATTTAATTATAGGATGGCGATGCGTCGCGATGAATAATATTTTTTTTTTTAAAAAAAAACCAATATTTTGTGATATGCTAATACTAAGTTAGTCTGATTGCATTCTTTTACAAGGCGAAAGTCTGGACTAAAGATTGTTTTGTACTACTATAGAATGCACACAAAACTCTGCATAAAGCAAGCATAACAAAACTTAGTAACGATAATTAGATAACTGCATAAAACTGAAATTATTTGCAGCTATTTTAATATTAAGTAATATTATTATATTTTGTTAATTAAGTTATGATCTGGCTAACACAGTAAATTCATTACGAATAGTTTTTTGTTTATGTAGAGAATCAACAAATCATTTGTCAATATAAGGTAAGTATTCTAGTAGTAATTAGAACTTAAAATTCATTACCAGCAGTGTGTTAATAATAAACTTATCGATATTCTTATTAACAAGGTTAGGTAAAATTAGCCCAACGGTTATCAGTTATTATATAATTTACGTACGACAATTACGCAAGATGAATTAACGTGATATTCAATTTTAAAACTTTTGTTATTGGTGCCACTTTTTTTTGCCTTTTAATATTTAACATGAATTTCCGCTTTAAAATAACCATCATCAAAGATCCTATTCATAACTCTTTAATATCTTCAAATTTCCTTATTACTTATCATTCTTTCCAATGGGTAATAGAATTTCAAAATTTAAAAAAAAGATATTCATAAATGATATTAATGATAATCATAAACATTGCGAAACCACAATTTCGAATACTGGATTTCCTGTGGTTGATAATGAATTAGACGAAGAAAAACGTCACGTTAGTTACGATTTCCATTTATATTAAAAATCATCTAAATAACGATAATGTCTGTTTATATTTATATAATGTATCTTGATTATTAGCACGAATTAATGGTAAACATTTGGAACTCAACATTTTCTTCTCCAGTCGAATCTATTTTAAAACATGGCAATGCCAAAGTTCTCGATATTGGGTAAGTTTTGCAAGTATTAACATTTTATTTATAAATATCTTATAAATTCTCTCTTTTTTTAAAAAAAGATGTGGATTTGGCGTGTGGATATACGATATGGTATTGTAATATTTATTATATATAAACCATAAATTGTCAAATTCTATCGATTTCAATTTTTCTCAACGCAATAATTACTTAATTTTAAGGCATTAAACTATCCACTTTCACATTTCACTGGAATTGATATTATAACCCCAAAAGATACTCTCCTTTCAAATGTCAGGCTTATACAAGCTGATGTTTTGAAAGGATTAAAATATTCAGATTGTTCTTTTGACTATATTCACAGCAGAGATTTATTTTGGTATATTACAACAAAAGATGCAAGTAAATTATTTCCAGGTAAAATATCTAACAAGTCTTTAATTAATTATTCAATGGATAAATTAATATATATATATTTTTCCGTGCAATAGATTTGTTACGAATTTTAAAGCCTGGTGGTTGGATTGAGAGTGTAGAATATGTTACTGAAATTACAAATCCTGGACCTAACACCAAGTTCCTTACAGATACATGTAATTTTAATTATTATAGTTATATTGTTTTTTTTTTTTTTTGTGTAATTGTAAGATTTAATCACATTTTATATGATAGTGTCTAGTTACCTTCGAAATCATGGAGTTTGTCCTGATGGTTTTTATAAAAATTTATCGAAATTATTTAAAGAAAATAATCTTGAATATCAAATTGAAGAGAAAGTAATATATATTTCTGATTCTGAAGTGGTAACTCTTTTTAATTATTTATCTATTTATTTATTGAGATTTTTCAACAAAAAAATAACTTATTTATAAATTTTTTGTAGACAGCAAAAAAATTTCTAATTGTTTTTAAAATGGTAAAATCCGTTATTCTTGAATATACAAGTATTGGTTCTGAAAAATATGATGAAATTCTTGATAAAGTTTCGGCTGAGCTCATAGAATATAAATCTTATGTTCGATCGTTAAGACATTTTGGAAAAAAACTTTGAGTTTTAAAATTCTAAATAATTTTTTATTTAAAAATAATTTTTATTTCCATCTTTAATACATATGTTCGTCTGTATAATTAAATATATATAAATACTGATAAATAATCTTTAATTTCCTCTTGTTCCGGCTAAAATATTTTATCCATAATAATTTATCAAGAATAAATTATGACAGGGTCTTATGTGATGAATAAGTTTATATCTCGAAATTTACTATGACAATTGAATTCCGACTAGGGATGAGTTCGGCTACGAACCCATCCCTAATTCCGACCTTTGAGTAAAATATTTCCAGCACGAAATCTTAATATGTATTTTTGGTTTTATATCAGAATCCCGGCACACAAAATCCAATACACAAAATCTTGCCAAATTAAAATACTGACTATATTAAAATCCCGACATAATTTATTGGTAGCGTCGGCGTATTACCACGAAATAACGCACAGGGGTGAAATTATAAATCCCGGCCTAAATTAAGCTCAATTCGGGCCAAACCTTGAAATAACGCCCATGGTCGTTATTTCGTGGTAATACGGTAGTCAGTATTTTAATTTGGCAAGATTTTGTATATTGGATTTTGTTGCCAGGATTTTGTGTCTGGATTTTGTGTGACTGGATTTGTAATGTATGAATTTCCTTAATTAAATTTTGTGTAATGACGCTCGAGAGCACCAATTTTATGAATAGGATATGGCTTTGTTATACTGTATATTAATATATTAAATTCACTTTTACTGAAAGAATCCATCAAGGCAACCACGAAAATTTCGAGTCACGTGACTGAAAATCGTTTTTGAATTTTTTTAAAAATTCTAACAAAGGTTTCTCAATAACTATCTAATACCTTTTTTTTTATTTTAATTTTATAATTTCGTAGAAATAAAATAAAAAATTTTATCAAATGTGCACCGTTAATTATTGAAAAAATTAGAATATCAAAAATGATTAGGTAAATTTTCCCTTCAAAACTTTACATACATGGGTGCCTAAATTCGAAAGGATTTACGGCATTACAGCATGCAGATTTTTGTCATGCTACTTTAAAATGCCGAAAATAATTCGGCTGCTATAATTGTCGTAATTATTTATGGCAGCCGAAAATATTTTGGCTGCTGTAATAATTTTCGACTGCCGAAATTATTTCTGTTACCGAAAAAAACAATAGTTCCAAGAAACAAATTCTACGGCCTAATTAAGGATGCTTCGTGAAAGTTACTAATAGAAGCCACATTGTCCCAACCCTAATCCTAACTATAGCGTAGTTTACTGGCTTTAATTTTACACGCAACTTCCATCTGATCTTAATTTTGATTGGTTAAGAATTACAAAAAAAACAATTTTTGTGAGTGCACTACCTAAAATATTTTAGATGACCTTTATAGATAGTTGTATATATTTTTAATTGCTATAGGCCATAAATGCTCAGAGCGTAGTGGAGGACTCTACCTCTACGCAAAGCGATCAGACATTACGTTTTTGATGCATTTAGATCATAAAAATATACTTTTTTTTTTGATACATCTGTATAAATATTATGAAAATTGTACAAAAAAAGTAAATTAGAAAGTTTTTATCACATCCGCACGCATGCGTTTATAATCTTGTAATTTGATGTAATAAAAGCGTACCAGTACATAGCATGCGTTGTTAATTATATGGGTTCCGGACATGCAATGTTATCATTATCTAGTACTAGATAGTAATTATATATTTTTATTTTAAATGTTTCAAATGTTTCATTACTTTAAAATAGTTCATAATTCTAAAATACAGTATTTCATCATTTGAAAATTTATAACTATAAAATATTTCGGCAAACACAAAATACTTTAGGACCACATGTATATCCAAAGGCTTCTGAACATGCATCCAAGGCAAACGGAAGAATTAGATCAAGGTTACTATGAAAAATAAAGGAAAAATAATTCTTGGCAGCCGAAATTATTTACGATTTAGACATCCTAAAATATTTTCGGCAATTTTTATTTACGGCAAGCCAAAAATAATTTAGACACCCCTATACTTTACATAAAGATTTCTCAACAACTACCGGTCTAAATTTGATGAAAATTTATTATTTTAATTCTGCAAACTTGTAAAATTAAAATAAAAAATTGTTTTCAATTTGATCAGATATTTGTCAAATGGGTTTAGATCATTTTACCAACAATCAATTTAATTTACTAACAATCAATTTTACTTAAATAGTCATTTTACTAACAATTATTTGGCTAACAGTATTTTATCTACAAATTATTTTGCTGATAGTTATCTCACTGACCATCATTTTGTTAACAGTCATTTTCCTGGCAGTCGTTTTGGATGTTCTATAGAATAGGTGAGCAGACTCCGCAAATTCAGCAACTCCGCTAAATATTTATTAATGATTACTAATTAGTAGCGGAGTTTATTTTTTATATTGCCCACCTATACTATAGAACATCCGTTGTGTTGCCAATAGTTATTTTGCAGACAATTATTTTATCATCAATAATTATTTATTATACTTTTGAATTTTAAAATTTTGATATCCATAAAATATAATAAGCTTAAAATTTATACCATTAAGGTGATTCAGAATTAATACTCAGATTTCTAATTTTAAATTAAATTAGTGATTTATTTTTTTTTTTTAATATTAAGGTGACCACTTAGGCCCTTGGCACTTTATTAGTACAAGCAGTAGGCCAATGTTAATT